AAAATATCGGGACTTGGGTCAGGCTCACCTTAGTCCTCAAAGTAACTGTTTTGCTCTTTAGTACTTTGAAAAGGTCCTGTGCACTAACTTTGACCAATGTGCTATGTAATTTGATTTCTTGACTGCTTGTTCTATAAGCACTGATTGTCTACAAGTAAGAGGAAGTCCTTGACAACTCCAATGTTTTTTCCATTAAACATGAAGTTTCCATTGTAAAGATTTTTATTTATAATGATTATAATAATCATGTACTTCATAGTGAAAGAGAACTCTGATGGTTTAGTGGGTAAAAAGTCGTGCTACCAAACTAAAGTTAAGCCATTCAAATCCACTAGCTGCTCCATGAGAGAAGAGAGAAAGATGGACAGTCTCCTCTCAGGCAATTTACAACTCCTGAAAGACTGCTGAAGTTCCAGCTCAGATATGATGAGTTGTTGTTATTGTTCCGTACGGAAGGCTGTGGTGTTTGATCTTCACCAGTAATCACATCAAGGCCTTTTTACTTTCAATTAGCAAGGTTATGTCATCTACATGTTATAGGTTGTTAATTAAAAGATGAATTGCTTTTGGGAAAGTCTGCTGTCAAAGACCTCTCCAAAATACTAAAAAGCAGCAATGTCAGGCTGGAGACTAAAGTGCACCTGATATAGGCCCTGATCTGTGCAATTACTTGCTGTGCATCGGAAAGCTAAACAATGGCTAGGGATGATAGAAGGAGAATTGATGCCTTTGAGCTTTGGTGCTGGAGAAGAGTATTGAATATATCATGGACTGTTAAGAGAACAAACAAGTTTATCCTAGAGAGGGTGAAGCCAGGCTGCTCCTTGGAGGCCAGGATTCTAACGCTTCATTGACATACTTTGGGCATGCTGCAAGGCGGGATCAATCCTTGGAGAGGGACTTCATGCTTGGGAGGGTGGAGGGACAGTGCAAGAGAGGAAGACCCTGGATGAGATGGATTGATTCAGTAACTGGGGTAATGGGGGTAAGTGTGTTAGAGACAGTAAGATTGGCAGAGGATAGAGCAGGCATATATAGGGTCTCTATGAGTCGCAGGTGACTCTGCAGCACATAACAACAACAAACAAATAAGTCTTCTATCTAACAGATGGTGCATTGCTCCTCATATAGTCCAGCTTTTCAAAGTATTAGCTTAACATACAGATTGAACAAGTATAGTGAAATAACACAGTCCTGCATTCCTTTCCTGATTTCACCCCACACTGTATCCCCTTGTTCTGTTGGAATGACATCCTTTTGGTCTGTGTATAGTTTCCATATGAGGACAGAAGGAGGTAGTCCAACCTCCTCTCACGGAGCAGCTGTTGGCCTCGAACACTGTGCCTTCAGGTTGGAACACAGCTTCTAGCGTGGCTTTATTCTGACTGATGATATCGAACTTCTCAGAATCTTTTCCACCGATGTAGTCCATTTGATTCCTTTATTCTATCAAGCAAATTTACTTGTTTAGTTGCTCTTCATGTTGTTTAATAAAGGTACTGACAAGGAAGAAGTTGTTTTTTTTAAAATTTAGGTACACAATCTCCTATTTTTTGTATTACCACAGATATATTTTTCAACCACTAATCTTTATTTGTTTTCAACTTTTGAATTCCAATCAGTAGTAATTATTGGTGAATCTTGCAAACTTGATCAGTATCAGACTGCAGCAGTTTGTAGAATCGTGTTTCTTCATCTTTGACATTAATGGTTGGTGCATGAATTTTAATAGTTGTATTAATAGGTTTTCCTTGTATATGTATCGACTTTTTTCCCTACCACTGACAACATTGTACTTCAGGGAAAGTCATGAATTGTTCTTTTGGATAATGAATGAATGCACTGCCATTCATCTTTGATTTGATGTTCTCAGGTTAGTAGACCATGTGATTGTCTGATTCAAAACAGAGAGATAACAGAGTTACCTTTCATTTTTCCCTATGGTAAGCAGCCAGTGCCTCAGTATCATCACATAGTAGATAGATAGATAGATAGATAGATAGATAGATAGATAGATAGATAGATAGATAGATGGTAGATAGTTTTACAGTCTCTGAAAACCCACTAGAGGGTCAGCTATGAATCAGTTCTGACCCAATGGCAGTAATTATATATACAGAGTCAAGTTCTTTGATCTTTCTCAAAGCAGTGGTGCCAAATTTACCATAACCAAGTATTTAACAATCTTATTTTACTGCTCTTGTCATCAAGACTAGATAGTTTTACAGTTAAATTCAAATAATCTTTCAGAGAATACATAATGTCTGTCTTAAGCAAATTGCATGAGATAACTGAAACAGAAAAAATTACTTCATTTTATGATTATAATGTAATAACCTTTATTACCAGAATGAAAATTTATGAGCTAACCTCACTTTTGAATGTAAATATAATAATCTTAAATATTAATGACTGAATACAGCAATGTTAGAACAAGTTTATACAAAATGTGCAAGGATGGGTTAATTTAAGAATGGTCATTAATATGATTAGGTATTATTTGCATGGCAAGAGCCCAGAATAAGAGCTGCATAGTAAAGTGGACTTTATTATGAAAGAACTGGGGGATTGTATAAAAATTAAAGAATTGTTTTCTTCTCAAAGAGAAAAGCCAACCTGGGGGTGGGGGGAGGAGTGGGCAGGGAGGTAAATGTGTAACAATGAGTGAATGGAAATACAAGTTCTCTATAATCTTTCATTAAAATCTCAATTTAAAAAAAAACAAACAACAAACCCAACATTATATTACATTAAATTTATGTGATATTTTACAAAGTAAATTAATTTTCCATTCCTGTAAAAAAAAAAAAAAAGAATGGTCATTAAAATAATTGATCACACTAACAACATAAAGGAGGGAAATAAGGACATTTTTTGCATTAGATATGGAGAAAGCACTTGGTAAAATTCAGTAGCATTAATGATTAAAAATATAAAAAGGTTTTTTGATAACTTGACATTAAGACAAACATCTTTAATCTGATAAAAAACATCTACAAAAATCTGTTGCAAACAGGTTGGTAGCATCCATCTCCTGTGGAGTATTGAGTTTCATTTTTGCATCTGATGCCTGAGATATTTTGTATTTATTAGTTTTTACTGTTTTGGGTGTTTATATGTGTATATACTTAGGTATGTGTGTGTATGTTTCCATGTTATGGTTTTGTTAATTAACTTTTTCTAGATACATTCCACTGAGCATTTTCTATATTTGTGGGTTAAGAAGCAATGCAGACTCTCCAGTGTAGTCCTGGAGGTTCTCCATCAGTGGTGGTCTGGGCTATAGGATGATGGGTTCCACACATCACTCTGGAAAGAACTGAATAGTTGAATGACTCTAGTGCTAACTTCTTAATAGAGAAATTCTCATTCACAGCTTCATAGCTCGGCTTCATTCAGGAAACCCATTAGGAATGAATCTGATGAGGTTAAATATATTTTATGAAATTTTCTATTGTTCTGTTCCCAGCAGGTAAAATAAAGATAATTAACTGCCATAGAAGTTCCTAGAAATTTTAAATTCTCGTTATTCCTGCAGTGATACTGAAAATATAAAGAGTACTAGTAATCTCAACTTGCCCATCACTGTCATGTTTTTATTTGACTGTTTAAAAAACATTTTCAATGCACTTCTGTGGATTGGAGTAGACAGAGGGCCACAGTTCTGGGGAGCCATTTTCATGGTGGGATCCACATTGTCCTAAACCTTTCTGTCCTTATCTGTTAACAAGCAAGGGATTCCAGTCACTATGAAAACCAGTGCTCTTAGTGCTGAGCACAAAGAACAATCAATAAATTCCAGATGGGAAGGTCATGTATAGTGACTAAGTCAGTTCTGTTCCAAATCAATACTGTATTGTGTATTTTCTACAGCAGATATTGAGATATAGATCTTCTATAGAGGGAACAGGAATGTCATCAGGAAATACCAATATAGACAAATCTGGGTTACCACCTCCAGGGAATAGCTGGATTGCTTGTGGTCTAACTATGTGGTGAAGATGTCAAGTCAGAAGTGAATATTCATGGTATGGTCCTTGGAGAGGGAGGAAAAATCAGTAAGTTTAGCACCCCATGTGGAACTATTGTCTCCCAGGCAGGTTCTCTGTTCTTGTATTTGAGGGGTTTGGGTATATTCAAACAAACAAACAAAACACCAGACTGATAGGTTGGTAGTGTTTAATTTTTTTATCTTACACTGACTTATTTACAAAGTTTGAATACATTGTTTTTCATACAAGAACTTTCCCATTTCCTTCACCCCCCCCCCCAATCAAATTGTGCAACCTTAGGTAATGTTATCTTTAGATGACACAAAAGACTTTAGAATACCTCGAGGAAGATTTCATAGTGCTGGAAGTCCAGTTAAACTTTAAATAAAATTTTTCTAATGACAAGGATAGCAAGACTCGTTAAAGAACATATCAAGCAAAAAAAGAATCTCCATATTTTTAATCCTAGTTTATGATTTACTTACCCTGTGGTCTTGGCAGAAACTACCCACCAATTTCTGTACATTTGCATATATAATAATTTTCTATTTTCTTTGCTAACTTCTTAGTGGAGAAGTTCTCATTATTCACAACTCTTATATATCACAGATGACATAAATATCCCAGCCAATGGGATCGCAATATGAAGGTTGTTGTTTGTAGTGTTGGGTGCCCTCAAATTGAGTACGACTCATAATGACCCTATGATCAACATACCTGAACCTTCTCCAACCCTGTACCTTCCTCGTCATTTCTTATATATGAAGGTAACTTCTCCTGATGCACAATTTTGGTGTTGAGATGGCTATAATGCACCCTTTTCTATCTACAGTCAACAGATGTCCTGCTGTTCAAGTTACTAATGTTTCCACAGAACTCCTCCTCCGCTGACTTCAACTTGCCAGCATTGGCGAAGCTTCAAGAACTTGTTAAGTTCATGACCTACTGCCCTGGGTTTTGAATGGAAACCTAATTAATTGCTTTAATGTTTGTGTCTGCATCTTCCAGGCACCTTTTGAAAATGAACAAGAGCAGCTCTGATTTGGAAAAAGTGAGCCAGGGCTCATCAGAGAGCCTCAGCCCATCCTTCCGGGGCGCCCACGTCAGCTTCACCACCGGCTCCACCGACAGCCTGGCCTCGGACTCCAGGACCTGCAGTGATGGAGGTAATTGACTTGGTGGGGGGACTTCCATGTCCTCAGATCTTCTAGGCCAATCCTGGGTCAATTAGCAAGATTCAAGAGAGCTGAGATAGGCATTCTGTCTTGGTTCAGCCTTCTTCATGCAATAGATTACATCAAGACTCCTTCATAGTTCTTTCTCTGTTGAGCAAATGGCAGGCCACTTCACTCCATGTTGCCATCTCCAGTTACAAGTTAGAGTTGGGGTTTGGGTTAGGGTTATGTGCACATCTGAGGCAACAAGTTGGGAGGAGGAAAAGGTTCAAAGTGTATTGAAGTCTTCTGCATCCTTGGGTAACAGGCCATCTGTGTGTTGGTCCTCTCTTTTCATTTCTGTTGTTGTTGTTGTTTGATGCCGTAGAGTCGTAGACGACTCATAGCAACCCTATGAACGAACGGCCTGAGCACTGTTCGTACATAGAGTTTCCAGAGGCAAGCAATTTTGGAAGTGGATGCCTCTCCTGCTAGTCGGGAAGCTCCAGCTGCACTGTCCACCATGGGTAACCATTACCACGATTGGCACATCACTGTCACAGTGTTCAGCATCACAGCAACCACGAGTTACCTCTGTACAGCAACGCACAGACCAGTGCTATACCACCTAGAAGAATGTTTGACAGGAAAACAATTTGAACCTGGCCGAGGGCCACAGATGAAAATCACCCACCTTCAGCTTGGTAGCATAGCTTCCTTTCCACTAGGCCAACGTAGCTTTCTCTTTGTCGTCGTCATTGTTATTCTTTATTTCTGTAGTCAGGATTAATTCTGTAAGAGTGTTCTCACCGTCTGCATCTCCTCTCTGGCTCGCTCTCAGACATGTGCATGTTCATACACATGTGAATATATATTTGGCACAGTGGCTGTTGATATGCGTGTTTGCTGAGTTGGAGACCCAGAGATTTCATTAGATCATCATCTCTCCCACTTTCTAGAATTCAGTTGTAAGGCATAATTTGTGAACAAGTCCTGATGGGACATATTCCTAAAGACTCTTGGTTTTGTGTAGTTTAGGGCCTGAGTGGGCAGTGTTTTCAAACCCCCCCCTTTTTTAATGGGGGTGTGTCGTCTTCTGTGTATGTCAGAGATAGGCTTTAGTACAGTAGGTTGTGACGTGTCCTATATTCTCAGTAGGCAGCTTTGGAGTATAGGGTTTCATTGTAAATTTACTGTTTCCAGTGTTTTTCTGCCTGAGAGATGGATACTGGTTAAGATTTAAAATGGGGAAAAAAAGTGTATGTTGTAAGTCAGACCGTGGTGGCCTCTGGTGGGAAGCCTCTGGTTGCTTACAAACAGGAAATAGTTTTTGAAGGGGAAATAGCAAAAGGATTTTGTCTTCTGCACATTTGCCTGGCCTACTATCTCCTTCCCTTTTCCCATCCCATTGTGCTAAAATTCCCAACGTCAGGTCATACCACAGCAGGCTGGCCATGTGAGTCGTCAGCCCTGTGCTGGTCAGCCCTGCCCTGCCCTCTGAGAAACTATGGCCAGTTCTGAGAGAGTGGCTGACATTGGACCATCAGCAGTTATTGATGAGAACTGGAATTACTTCTCTTAACACTTTACATGTAGGAATGAGTAGTACATCATGATCTCTGTCCGTCATCATAAAGATAAGATTACAACCCATGACTTGTGGGTGTTTGGGATAAAAGAGGAAATGGGGCCACTCACAGCATGATTGTTTGTGTGAGTTTCCAGGAAAGCAAAATCACTGAGGGCTTATTTAATAAGGTGGAACAGCAGCGTGGGTCTGAAGCACAGTCAGAATTGAGGAGGTAGAGGGAGGAGGAACTTTCCAGGTTAAGAGAGCAAGACAGGAAGAGCAAAGGCAAGAGGGAGGGCAGTACATCCTGGGAAAGGATCTGGCCCTCCTGACTTGGTCCAGTGAAGCAGATGAGGGAGAAAGATGGAATGTGAGGTCAGATGGAGGGCAAGGGGCTAGGGTACAAAAGGATCCTCAACTTCTTGAGGCGGAAGCTCCTAGAGGCTTTTTTTACTATAAAGGTAGTAATTCTATCATGCTAATTTCTGGCTGTTGTTGTTGTGTACCATCAAGTCAGAACTGGCCCATAGCTGACCCTCCAGAATTTCCAGAGACATTTTAATCACATTGGAGGAGATTTCCCATCCTTCTCCCACAGAGCAACTGGTGGGTTCAAAAACGCCACCACAGCTCTCTGCTAGAAAATAGATTTTTGTCTAGAAACTAAAAATTTCAGTGACTTCAAGGTTTATTCTTTATCATGAGCCAGTAATTCCTATACTTTGGGCAAGTTTAAATCTACTTCAAAGTTTAGATTTCTAGAGTAATAGGAAGGTGTGTACCCAGCCACTGGACTTAGAGCGAACCTTTCTTCCTGCTGCCTTGACATAACAGTGTTCCTAGAACTAAGCTGTGAAATTGGGAAGAAACCAAAGCATTCTTAAAAACCAAACAAAAACATTTTCTTAAACATTAACGTAGACGACAGTGTTGGTTAGTGGTAAAATGTCTGACTTCCTGCAGGAGAACTGGGTTTACTCCATAGCCAGTGCACCTCAAATACAGCCATCACTTGTCCGTCAGCGGAGGCTTACATGTTGCTCTGAGCAGGTGGACCTTTAAGACTAAGATGGACTGGCAAGAAATGACTAGCTATCTGCTTTGAAAATCAGCCAGTGAAAACCCCTGCGGATCATATGGGCAGTTCCTCCACTGATTATGGAGATGCTGCGAGTCTGGGCACGTTTTATGCCAGCATGCCTGGGTTTACCATCCGTCAGGGGACTAACTCAAAATCAGCTAACAGTAACAACGAACATTACTCTGGAAAATAAACAGCCACTTGAATGTGATGTGAGAAATCCTTCTTTAAGCTTGTCATCAACCAAGGCAGCTTAATTTAGATCTGTTACTGAAAACAATTTTCTTCTGTTAATTTCATGTGTCCATACTCATTTTTACCTCATAGCTGACTGAAATAGTAGCACACGTTTTATTACTATTTGTTGTCAATACTAAACTTCAGTGAGGGGATCAGAGAAGGAAGGGTGAAATTAGTTAAAGTTCCTTTAAACCAAAATATGGTATCACCTTCTCTAATATTATATCTTGAATCAAAATACCTAATTAGAACTTCAATTTCTTTTGTTAGGAAGAATTCACTAATTAAAGCTGTTTCTTTCCTGTAGGCTGGCTGAATGAGTGGAGGACAAAGTAGTTACAGGAGATTTTATAATAATATAAATAGTGTAGATAAACTTCTTAGGACCTCACCAGAGTTAGTAGTTGAAGTTAGTTACTTACTGTCTGAAGTTTTGTGACAAAAAAGGGGGGGAAATACTTGAAATTGTGTAAGAAGATAAAATATTTTTACTTTGTTACATTTTAAAAATCATTTATATTATTTTATATAGGTATTAATTGCACATCTTTATACTTTTATTTCCTATTACTCAAAGCATTCTCTGTTGCCACAGTTGTCCATGCGGGCAGTTTAGTTGAGCAGTGAGTCAACTAAGTGGAAGGAAAAGCTCATCTAAGCAGCTGTTGGGTGTGTACTTGGTTTGGAAAGGACAGACTGCCCGTGTCAGGACAGATCCACTAAGGCTGCTAAAAGACAGGCTATTTGCAGTGAACGGATGAATGAACGTGGGTGTAAGATGACTGGCTAACTAATCGCCTTCAACAGTCCTCAGAAGACATTTGTGCTTTACATGTCTATGCTTAAAAATATATAAACCTAAGGAGGTATAATAGAATGAAGTGTTGGTCTGCTGACTAGAAGGTTGGTAGTTCAAATCCACCAACTAGCTGCTCAGTGGAAGAAAGATGGGCCTTACCTTCCCATTGAGATTTACAGCTTAAGAAACCTGATGCAGAGTCCCCATAAGCCAGAACTGATTTGACAGTAGCAGCTTTTTGGTTTTACCGTCACATTAATATCATTTAATGCCTGAGAGCTGAGCTTCTAGCCAAAAGATTGGTAGCTTGGATCCACCAATGGTTCTGTTAAGGAGAGACCTGATAATATGCTCCCAACGAAGGTTCCATCTTGCTTCCATTGAGCAGCTAGTTGGTGGATCCCTAGGGAGCAGTTAGTTGTACTCTGTCATATGGGGTTGCAGTGAGTCAAAAACAAACTCAGCACTCAACAACCACAGTACCTTTCTAATTTAAAATACCCTGAAGATTCAGTTCAGCTCAGGTAAATGGAAATTGTGGTCACCAGTAATAGATAAGAAGTCAAACTACCCAGTGAGTGTAAGTAAAAGTACATAGAAGTTTATATATTGTAAAGTGACTACAGCAGTGGACACAGGCCTGTCAGAAATGATGAGGATGACACAGGATAGGACAGGGTTCAGATCTGTTGTTCATAGGGTTGCTATGAGTTGTACTTGACTCGACAGCACCTAACATCAACAACAGGTGGGCAGAAATGGTTTGGTGACATAACGTTTGCCTTTTACATGGGAGACCCATGTCCATTTCCCAGCCAATATACCTCATACACAATCCCCATTCATCTCTGAGAAGATTAACACTGAACAGACTTCAGTGGGTCTTCCCAGACTAAGATGTATTAGGAAGAAATATCTAGTGATCTACTTCTGAAAACCAGTGAAATTGTTACAGCAGACCACCCATCCTCCCTCAAAATGATGTCACCTGGAGAAGAAGGGAAATGGTGTAACACACTAACCTTTCCATTAGCATCCCAATAAGTAATCACTGTGCCACCGGAGTTCCTTGTATTTTGAATCAATATTACCAAATTGTCCTCTAAAGCTGTCAGTAACAGGAGAGTGATTTCTAACTCCATTCCTATACTACCTTTTCATTTTTGCTGTTCAGTTAAACTCTTAGTGATTATTACATCATGGTTCTAGAAGACTGAAAAGTCTGTGATTCCAAAGTTCTGGAACCGCACTTTAGGCTTGTAGCCAGGGACTCCAGGTTATCTAAGTAGGTAACTTTTCTAAACCAAGACAGTGTTTCCATT